ACGTTTTTGGGGTGAGGCCGCCCTTTCAGCAGTCTATACCATCAATCGCCATCCCATTACACTTCTCTAGAATCAGTCACCGTATGAAGCTTTGTATGGACAACCTCCTAACTACAATCTACTCAAAGTATGAGGTTGTGCTTGCTTTGTCTTGCTACAACCACATGAACACACCAAACTTCAACCTCGTTCCCGTCTTTGTTGTTTCCTAGGATACGGTGTCGAACGCAAAGGCTATTGGTTTTGGGATCCTATCTCCAAACGACTTCGTATATCTCGTCATGTTGTCTTTTGGGAACACAAAATGTTCTCCTCCATTTCAACATCTCAATTGGAATATAATCATTTTCCTCCTTTCTTTACTGATACATCTGTTCAACTATTTCCGGGACAACCATCATCTTCTGTCCTACCTTCGCAGACAATTGCCGATCCTTTGTCTCCATCTATGGACACGTCTTCTATCACACCATCTCATTCCTCACCATTGCATTTTCCCGACTCTTCTTCACCTGTTGATACTTCTCCTTCTATTACACCATCTGATCCTACACCGTTGTCTACATGTGATTCTACTCCCGACTCTTCCTCTATGGACTCTCCTGAAATGTTTGTGCTGCCTGATGAACTTACTACCAACAATCGCCGATCCACCCGAGTAAGACATATACCTTCTCATCTTCGTGACTATAAGTGTTATTCTACTCTATTCTCTATCCATACACCATCTTCATATAAAGAAGCATCCTCCGACCCACTTTGGCAAAGAGCTATATCCGAAGAATTGCAGGCTCTTAATAAGGCTCATACATGGGACATCGTCCCTCTTCCATCAGGAAAGGGCATCATTGGCTCCAAATGGGTGTTCAAAGTCAAAACAAACTCTGATGGCTCTATCGATCTGTACAAAGCCAGATTAGTTGTGAAAGGTTTTAATCAAGAATATGGAATTGACTATGAGGAGACTTTTGCACCCGTCGCTAGGGTTACTTCGGTTCGTAGCCTTCTTGTCGTTGCTGCTGTATGTCGATGGCCTCTTTATCAGATGGATGTCAAAAATGCTTTTGTCCATGGTGATCTCACCAAGGAAGTTTATATAAAACCCCCTCCAGGTGTTCCTCACCTACATGATCATGTGTGTCGTCTCAAAAAGGCCCTTTATGGTCTTAAACAAGCACCAAGAGCTTGGTTTGAAAAATTCAGCACCATTATTCAGTCTTTGGGTTTCATCGCCAGCAACTATGACTCTGGACTGTTCACTAAAACCACTACATCAGGTACTATTCTTCTTATTCTCTATTTGGACGACATGATTATTACAGGTAGCGATGCTCATGGTATTCTCGATCTAAAACATTCACTTAGTTCTTATTTTGAGATGAAGGATTTGGGTTTACTTCACTATTTTCTTGGTCTTGAAGTGCTTCCTCATGACACTGGCATTTATTTATCTCAAGAAAAATATGCCTCAGATCTTATTGCACGTGCTGGTATTACCGATTGTAAGGTTGCAAAATATGCCTCAGATCTTATTTCACGTGCCGGTATTACCGATTGTAAGGTTGCTAATACACCCTTAGACCCTAACTTTCATCTATCACCGGGTGATGGTTCTCTCCTCTCTGATCCTACCCTTTACTGTCAGCTCGTCGGTTCACTTGTCTACCTGACCGTTACGCATCCCGATCTTGCATTTTCCGTTCATATCGTTAGTCAGTTCATGGCTTCTCCTCGAACGACTCATTATACTGCAGTGTTGCGTATCTTACGGTATATTAAAGGTACCATATTCCATGCTCTCTACTTCTCATCCACCTCATCTTTAGTGCTTCATGCCTTCTCAAATGCAGATTGGGATGGAGATATCACAGATCGCCGATCTACCACGGGATTTTGTTTCTTCCGTGGTGATTCGCTAATTTCATGGCGTAGTAAGAAACAATCATTAGTCGCCAGATCTAGCACCGAAGCTGAATATCGCGCTCTTGCTGACACCACCCAACAGCTCATATGGTTGCGTTGGCTTGTATCAGATATGGGTCTTTCTCTTTCTTCACCGACCGTCATATGGTGTGATAATACAAGTGCCATTCAGATTGCTTACAATGACGTGTTGCATGAGCGCACCAAACACATTGAGATCGATTGACATTTTGTTCGACAACATGTCATTTGCAATATCATTACTCTATCCCCAATCTCATCTACCGACCAACCTGCTGACATCTTCACTAAAGCCCATCATCCAAGACGCTTCTCTATTCTACTTTCCAAACTCAATTTGGTCCCTCATGAACCATCTTGAGTTTGAGGGGGGGTGTTAATATATTTATAAATATAGTTGAAGGACTTTTTTTGTCATTTATCTATAGTTGACTAAGTATTTAGTCTTTGTATTGTCTTTCTTCTGTTTAGACTTTTGGTTAAAATAAATACAGAGAGGTTCAATCGTTCTCACCTTTGATGGTGATTCTTTTGAATTAAGAACTCTACAACTCATGATCGCAATCTCAACCTGTTCATTTTGCAGTATTCGAATATTATATAACTTGAATATATAAAAATAATCACTTCAACATGATATGGCATGACATGGATATAACATTAATTGATTTTATGTATCAAAAAAATCATGTTTCACCTCCGAGAAAGAGAGTACGCAGAGATGAAAGGTACCCTGTTTGCTTTTCAAGTGATACATATTCCTTTCCATTTAACAAACCAATTGCTTGTAAACAAATTTAAATCACTATAAGCTGGAGGATTGAAAAAGGAACAACCTCCACAATTATCTCAAATATGTGACGTGTAATCTGCATAATCCATACTTGTGAATTGAGAAAAAAAAACATTATGAATATCGTTGTGGAGGTCCTCTTTTATGTGACATCATATTTATTTTACTCATAGGTTATGCCATATTCAAATGAAATGAAGGAAGATGAGACATCAAATAGTAAGAATTTTTGAATTCTACTCTTTCAAAGTGAAGTGAAATGAGTACTAATAAGTAGTATATACCCTTTTTTAAACAATAAAATATCATATTTTGTCCGGCCTTAAATCTAAATATCATATTTACCCTTTATAAACTTTCGAAATATCATAAATGCCCTAATCCATATTTTTAAACATTTTATAATCACTTTAAATTATTATTTTTATTAAATGACTATTATACTCTTTTATAAAACAAGTTGTATCTATATCTCAATGTTTATTTTAAAACTAATTGTTAAGTTTATTTTTTATTCTGGTGTTTCACGATAAACATATATTGCTTATAAATGAGGTTTTAAATATATTATTGAAACCTCCAGTAATTAAAAGTCATTCAAGGAGACGAAGTAGCGTGGTGCTTTGGAGGGTGGATCAATTCGTTGAACTCTCCAGGACCCATCTTCCACACACAATTCTCCCAATCTCATAATCCATTTACATATTCCAATCAAATCCCCAATTTTCCTCACCGGTTCATCGATGAAATGGAAAATTCAAAGACGCTGATAGAAACTGATTCATCCAACAATTTCTTCAATTTCCTCAACTTTGATTCAACCAAACTCATCTTACGTCACCTCCCAATTTGTTCAATCATCCCTTCCTCCATCGTCTGCAATCTCTGGCACTTAATTATCACCTCCCCATTGTTCGTCGCCACCACTGCAGCACCCCCTACAGCCAAAACAACATTTCTGTGAAAACAATCATGCGTTTTCATTCAAACCTGAGCCAAATAAGTGGATCAAACGCCCAATAAATCTATTTTTCGTTTCAATTTTGCAGGAAGTATTTTATTATAGGCTCCGGGTGGGGTTTCCTTCAACACCACTGCTAATATTTCAGTTTTGCCCCAATTTTGAAGCCCTTGTGACGAGAAACGACACCACTGGAATTCTCATGATTAAACCCTCTGGTCTGTGTTTTAGTTATGAGTTTTCATCGACTTTTGTTGGCCAGATTATGCAACAATTATTATCGACCTTCCTTTAATACATTAAGAATTGATATATTTAACAATGGAGTCTAGTGAAGTTGCGATTATGCCTCCTGATTTTATTAATTCTTTATTTGAATTATGATATTTTAAAATTTCATTTATACTAAGGGTATAAGAGGCAATTTACGAACACATTAATTTAAAATGATTATTAAATATTAAAATAATATTAAAAATAAGAATTTGTGCAAATTTGATATTTTTAAAGTTTGTAAATGGTAAATATGATATTTATAAATTAAGTTTGACAAATATGATATTTTGATGTTTAAGAAGGGTATATATGATATTCTCCCTAATAATTAAGATCATGTAACTTCTATTTGAATTAATTAGTAAGTTATGGTGTGTAAATGTTTCAGGCTGTTAAAAGCTACTTTGATATTAAATACTTGTTTTTATATATGAATGAGTTAGGTGGTGTATAACATCAAATCATTGCCAACCCTCCTAAATTTGAGTTTTATGGTATGGAGTCGATGGCCAAAGTCTAAAAATTCACCAAATGGCACCTGTACGAGTGTACCCATACTGGTAGTCGATTTAGTTCAATATGTAATTGATAGGATCATAGGAATCTTGTATCAAGTGTTAAGATGAATTGTGTTGATCAGTGTGTAAATATATGTCATATATTGTGTAAAGTTTAATTGGTATGTGTTTGTATTTTCTATTTGACGGTAATTATAGAAAATAATGTATTGCATATAACTAAATTACCAATTTTATTTTTGCTACTTTTTATATTTACTGGAAATCCAAGTGACGGAAAAACTTTTTAAATTTCACTTGATGAACAACATATTTGTCCTTGACTAATACTATATTTTCCACCAGTGAAGCTTCTAAAAGGATATCAATCTTCACTGACTTATTTTTTTTATCTATTACATAACGATTTAAGAAAACATATGAGAAGTTTCATAACAAAAAGGCATTCAAATACATACATATTATCAGGATGCATATAGGGAACATGACAAAAGCAAATACACTAATCTCATGTCTTCATCAACATATATGAAACTTGGCGCATTGTTGGTCTTCCTTGTGGATTCGAGTTCAAACATGCTCTAGAGAGATTCAGAACCATATTAACTTTTTTCTCAATTTGTGGTGAAGGAAGTGGAATCCGACTATCTCCAACATTTCCTAACACCAGATAATCCGCCCACAATGTTGGTAATTCACCAGGATGCTTTCCCATGATCACTTCTAGTGCCACGATCCCAAAGCTATACACATCACATTTCTCGGTCACCACCATCGTATAAGCAAGCACTACTTCCAAAAATACGTGAGATAAAAACAAAAAATGTTATATCAACCTCACAAGATTCTACAATATAGATACATATACATATACTTATTCATATATGTCATGAAACTTAAGAAAATGTAGAACTAACATCACAAAATTACATTATCTGGCGCGATATATAGCCATGTGTTCCTTTGATTGTGGTCCAATTGGATGAGTCTAGCTTTAAAAGCTTGGATGTGCCAAAATCAGAAATGTGTGCCTCATAATCAGACTCAAGAAGGATGTTGGCAATGGAAATGTCTCTATGAATTATAGGAGGTGAGCAGTCGTGATGCATATAAGCCAAACCTTTAGCTACATCCTTTACAATATTTACCCTTTTCAACCGGTCCAGTTCTGTTACTAAAACATCACTTCTTAAGATTGATCCAAGGCTTCCCTTTTCAAGGTATTCATAAATCAAAAATGAGTGGCGGGCATGTGAGCAATATCCATAGAGTTTCACTATGTTTCGATGCCTTATATTCGTTAATACTCGTATCTCATTAAGGAATCCATTATGATCAACGTTCTCAGATGATGAGTGAAGCTTCTTGACTGCTACCACTGTGTTAGGTTGTAGCTCGGCTTTGTACAGAGTCCCATATCCTCCGGTCCCAATAGCATATGCTTCATCAAAATTATCCATTGCTTTCAAGATGTCATCATACACTAATCCTGCATCAAAACTTGTTATGGAGAAATAATCACTACCTTCTTTGTCTAATGGTTTCTGTGGATAATGTCTCTTTTCCTTTCGATAAGCAATTAGGCCAGACATGAAAAAACCAAGTGAAATTTCCCCAATAAGAGGGAGCATAATTACAAGAATGATCCGATGATGAAAGAGATCATTTTTCTTTTTCAGAATTTGACTTGAACATTATTTAAGTCCTGTAAAATTTCCACACAAACCCGGATTGCCTTGTATCGATGCATTCAGAAAGTTAGAGCAAAGAGGAACAGGACCTGTGAGCTCATTGTTGGACAGGTCGATGTCAATCCCATTGGGAAAACTTGTAAAAGCATTCGGAATGGAAGCAGATAGTCTATTGTGAGAAAGATTCAACTTTTGTAGATTTTTCACACTTTGAACTTCATATGGTATCTCTTGTGTGAGCAAATTCTGAGATAAACCAAATTCTGTAAGTTGAACTAATTTACGAATTTCGGATGGAATTTTCTCACTAAGCTTCTTATTACTAAGATTTAAGTAGTGGATGTGCTTCCATTGACTAATACTTCTTGGTATTGACCCGTTCAATCTATTTGTGGATACATCATGTAACGACCCAAATTTTTACAAAGAAAATTTTCATTTTTAATTGGTCAACCATTTTTCATAAAACATAAAGATTCCAATAATTGTTTTCAAAACCATCAATATTACATCATTACTATTTTCAAACATCAGAGTGTCCCCAAACCATATTAGAAAATGAGAGAGATAGAGTGCACGCCGCATCATCACGTCTTGCCTTTGCCCTCGGACTCCGATGTACCTGAGACAAATCCACAAACTGTAAGTTGAAACCTTAGTGAGTCCCCCAGAGTATATCACGCACACAAACCATATAACACATATCGAATTAGCCATACGCTACATATATCACATAAGTCATACATTCGGCAAATAAGGAAGCCCTTGAAACCCTCCCGGGTTTTATACCAAATGCCACGGGAACTCCCACGTGGTCTTCACCTGCCATGGGAACCCCCACATGGTCTTCCTGCCCTGGGAACCCCCACAAGGTATTCCTGCCTTTGGAACCCCCACACGGTCTTCCTACCAAACAAGACATAATACAAACTATACAAGCAAATATTTTAGGATGCCATGGAAACCCTCCAAGGTCCTATACCAAACACCACGGGAACCCCCACATGGTCTTCCATGCAGAAACCGTATCTCATAAAATGGGTCGGCCTTGGTGCCTTAGACCCATTGATTTGGTGAGAAGACTCACCTGACAAAGCTGAATCGGCAACTGAATCCAGGTATGTCTTGTGCTGCTCTTTCCAATCTGTCTGTAAACAATGAGTAAATAACTCATCATAATCCCATAAATACCCCCAGGGTCAACCCTGGTCAAAGTTAAAGTCTATATTCGAGGTCAACAGTCCATATTGACCTTGACTCGTCGAGTACAATCATTCACTCGTCGGGTTCCTTGCTTAACTCATCGAATCGCCGAGTCACCCGAGAGACTCGTCGAGTTCCTTGGTGTTTACGGTCGTAAACCTCCAACCGAACACCCTTGACCGTACACCCATGGCCGTACACCCCTTGGCCGTACACCCTTGGCCGTGAACCCACTCGACTCGCCGAGTAACCAGAGGGACTCGACTAGTTCTCACGTAATCGGTTCCTTCCAGTGGGATTTAATGTTTCAAACTTCAGATCCATACTCTCCTAGTGAAGATATCACGTAAAGTTGCAAACTTTACGTGCATGCAAAGCCTCACGTGGCCATAATCACCAAAACTAACCTACAAACAAGGTTTTCATGCATGAAGAGAAAAGGGGCTTAATAAAGGGTGCAACTTTATGATGTTTGGGACCTAAGGAGGTCCAGATCTGGAACCATATCCTTGTGATCGGTCCAGATCTAAGGTTGCTTCTATTTTCTCAAAGTTGGTCACAATTCTCAATTAGAATCTAGGCCCAAGGTAACAGATTCATACCTCACTTCAAGCCCTAAGACGAAATGGATGCTTGATCAAACACTTCTCCCTTGATACTTCCTCTTTAAATTTGGAATCCTCCCCAAAATCTCAAGGATAATCTCTCAATTGATCTTACTTCACACACAAGAGGGTGTGATGCCGTAAACGTCCTTCTATGGTGCTAAGGGAGGCTACTGGGACGGATAATGACGTTTATATAGGGGGCAAACCCCAAATTTAGGGTTTTCTTTAAACAACTCGGACTCGCCGAGTCAACCCGTCGACTCGCCGAGTCAGTCCTGTTCCGCGTTCCATGGTAAACGACCCTACTCGATGAGTTGGTCTCCCAACTCGCCGAGTCCATGCATAAAACCTTTCCAAATTAAACCAGGTGTTACAGATCGAGTACTTCAATGAGTTCACAATATCCGAGCTCTGTAGGTATAATACTTGAAAGATGGTTATTAGCCAAAGAGAAATTCAACATACTTTTCATCTTCCCAAACTCCTTTGGGATTTCACCTACCAAATGATTGGAAGAAAGATCAAGCCTTTGTAGTTGAGTTGAATTTCCAACCTCTGGTGGTATGTTACCACTGATGTTGTTATAGGCCATCACTAAGGCTGTCAAATTCTTGCATTTACTCCAGTTTTGAGAAAGCTGCCCGTGAAAATTTTTGTGACGGATATCAAGGTATTTTAAGCGTGGATAAATGCCAAAGCTATTGGATATATCTCCAATGAATTGATTTCGATCAAAACGACCCGTAATTAAGCTAGAACAATTCCGTAAGCCTTTTGGAATAGGCCCAGTGAGTTGATTACCATGTACGGAGAAAATTTGAAGCTTTCCTCCATGGCACAAATCTTCGGGCAAATGGCCAGATAATTGATTATCGAACATTTGTAGGTGAAACAATTCTAGACTTCCTAATCCTTGTGGAATCGAACATGATAATATGTTATCACTAAGGTAAAGATAATGTAGATTGCTCAGGTTTGCTAGTGATCAAGGAATAAAACCACTAAGTTGATTACGAGTCGCCTCAATACCATGGAGAGACTTCAAATTCCCGAGATCACTAGGAATGTGACCAGAGAATTTATTCTCACTGAGGTACATATGCTGTAAGTTGCTCACATTTGCTAGTGATGAAGGAATAAAACCACCAAGTTGATTTCGGCTCACCTGAAGATTAGTGAGACACTTCAAATCCCCAATGTCAGTAGGAATTTGACCTGACAATTTATTCTCATTGAGGTACATATATTGTAGGTTGCTCAGATTGGCAAGTGATGAAGGAATAGAACCACTAAAGTGATTGTTCATCATCCCAAGACAAGTGAGAGACTTCAAATTCCCAAGATTAGGTGGTATAGGACCACATAAATTATTATTATGGAGATATAGATAAGACAAGTTTGTCAAATTTCCCATTGTTGGAGGTAATTCTCCTTGAAGAAGATTATAGACCAATCCTAAATAATAGACAGATGCTAATCGACCGATCTCTTGTGGTATTGAACCAGTCAGGTTATTAAAAGACACGTCGAGGAACTCAAGACTGGCTAGCATCACAATTTCAGGTGGGATTACTCCTGAAAACTTATTGGATGATAAATCAAGATATACCAATTTGGACAAAAGTTGGATTTCTGGTGGGATGGGGCCAAAGAAGTTGTTCTCATAGAGATCAAAATGCGTAAGATTGTGTAGCAAAGAGAATGAAAATTGGTGGAGTGTACCTTTTAAGCCCAATGAACTGATGTTCAACTTGTGAATGCTCCCATCAGCATTGCATACTACTCCAAACCAAGAAGTGCATGGAAGTGATGCACTGGAATTCATAGGGAGGGGAATCCATGAAGAGAGAAATGAATTGTTTTGGATTTTAAGGCTTGCTTTCCATTGAAGAAGAGCATTGGCTTCCATTAAAGATGCAGAAGAGAATTTTGGTATTGGGGAGAGTGTGATGATTAGTATAGCTAACGAGAAAAATAAGACGTTTGAAGAAGGCATTATTTGCTTTGCCATGGTGTTTTATAAAAAAGATGGTTTGCGAGTCCTAATTTATACTTGAGCTACCTTTTTCTCTTGTTTTTATTTTCACATACTTAAAGGAAATTTGCACAATGTCATATTTTTCCACAAGGAGTGTTTACATTAGCAGTTAGTGTCATATTTTTCCACAACGAGTGTATTACATTTTTAATTGTATCTTTCATGACATTAATCTTTTTTCTTAAAGCATTAAAATTCATTGTAACCCAGAATTTAGCATGGCGCTCTGATTACAAAAGACAACTTGTTGAATTAAATGTTACTGTTGGATTTAAAAGTGTAATAATATAACTTAACTTGATTATTTAGACATATTTATTTTTGTTATCTGATTAATGTTAACAGAAGTTACACTCAAACTGTGTTTTACTTCATAATCAATTCTGTAACTGATGACTAATTTAAAATTGTGGATCTTGAATCAAAGACATGGAGATCGAGTTTTCCTGCAAAATTATCCACGTGACCATATAACATTATTCGATTTTTAAACATGTTTATCTTTGTTTTCTGGTTAAAATTACAAAAAATAGTTTTAATTTAAAAACAATATACCTGTCAAATAGATTGACCAAAAACAAACTTGTTTCTATTATTGTTGTTTCAAATTGAAGACCATACTAATTTTTAAAAGAGAAAACTGCAAAAATTGCCCATGTGGTTTGTTGCTTCCTTTGGATGGAGTTCAACATGTTTCCAACTTGCAAGTATAGTCCTTTTGACAAAGTTTCATTATAGATTAGGTCCTTGTTTTTTAACACGGTTAGTTTATGTCTGTTAAGATAGTGTTAAGTTACCATCTTACCTCTTTCTATATTTTCAATTAGATTTTAATTATTTATATCATTATTAATTTTAGTTAGATGGACTCAACTTCCATCAAAATGCCCCCTCCCCATCTTCGTTTACAAACCTGCTAAATCTACAACCCCACCCTCCCTATTCATCTTCATTGAAAAACCTGTATGAGCTGTTTTAAAAGTTGCCTTGTTTTTTAAACTTCACTTATAATCGTAATTAGATTCTTGACTTCCATGGAAATGGACAAACAGAGTACATTGAGATATTGAAAAAGATATGTCTCTAAGCATAGAATCGAACGCCTTTTGCAATTCTCGAAATTTCATGCAAATGAAGAAAAACAGAGCACCGAAACTCAATCGAAAGATCATAAATCACAGCAAGATGAAAATAGAAATCAATTACAACAACCAGAAGAAATTCAATCGGATTAAAAAACAGAGTAAAAGAGTAATTAAAAGAAAACGAAGAATTGCAAACATAACTAAAAAAAGATCGATGAAACTGATGGTGGGCGATGCCATGTTAGGGATGGTAAAGCGGTTCTTGCCGGTGTGGGTGGGAATGTGGGATGGGTGATTTTTTTAATAGTATTATAATAGAAGTATTAAACAATAAGATTAACAAAAAAAAAATAGTGAAATATAACAGGGGCATAATTGACATTTAACATATCTTAACTGAATAAATTTCAAGTAGTTAAAGAGAAGGACCTAATCTACAACCAAACATTGTCAAAAGGATTATATTTGCAAGTTATAAAAATATTTGAACTCCAACCAAAAACATCAACAAACCACAACAACCATCTTTACAGTTTTCTCTTTTTAAAATAGCAGAATTTGACTTGGTAAATCAATAAGTTAAGATAGATTTAAATAGCCATTTTTTCTTGCTTTTTGTTTTACTGTTTTCAAAAAAGGAAAATATGGGCCATGCCAATTTTTTCCACAAGGAGTGTATTGCACTTAAGAATCAGGATTGTATTCATCATGACAATCTTGGAAAAAAATAAACAATGGTAAAATAGATTATGTTCTAAATAGTTAGTTATCAAAAAGACAATATGTTAATGCTGAGTTTAATAATGCAATATAAATTTATTGGATCTGTTTTCCAAGTAGTTCTACTAAGAGATATAATCTGAAGGCAAATGTACATGTCAAATCGAATATCTTTGAAATTGGGTATAGTTGGTTTCAAAATTGAATTGCTTGCGGTTATCATTGTTTCTAATTAGAAGTATAGTAACTGAAAATAGAAATCCAAGGTAGTAAGAAACCAACCAAATCTTCAATTTCACGACCTCTTCCATAGTTGATTCCATAATCAACAGTTCCTTTTACGTATCGCAAGATGTGTTTCACAACTTGGAAATGCAAAGTGGTTGGTTCCTCCATGAAACGACTTGCAATTCCAACTGAAAATGACAAGTCCGGTCGAGTGTGAGTTGGTTCATCCTTCTTAACCTTCAACTTAGGTTCCATTGGTGACGTTGTCGGATTGCAATCCAGCAACCCAAATTGCTCTAAAATCTTCTTTGAATAAGCCGTTTGTCGCAAAGATATTCCCCACTTCTTTTGCGAAACTTCGATTCCAAGGTAGTAAGAAAGTAATCCCCTTGGCCCAATCTCACTAGAAGGGCTTTCCATATGGGGTGATGTTGAAGAAAACGGGGCTGAGACAGGAGTATGTGGAGCTGGTTCAGGCTCGTCAAATTCAGCATATGGTTGTCCAACTTGGATAGCATCGATTCCTGGGCTGTTTGGTTGTTCCGGATTGATTTCGGGGTCATTTTGAGGTGTTTCGAGGTGTATTTGGGGTCGTGGTTCAATTATGGTAAAGGTGTTAGGAGTCGCCATCTCTTCTTCTTTGTTTTTGTACCAATTCCATTCTTCTTTTTCGTCAAAAACAACATCGCGACTAACTCGCAACTTTCGGTCTTGCGGATCAAACAAACGGTTGCCTTTAGTTCCATCTTCCACACCTAAATACACCATCTTCTTACTTCGATCATCAAGCTTCTTCAGGTGACCACCTACAAGTTTAGCAAAAGCAACACAACCAAAAACTTTTAGATGTTCAAGGTTGGGCTTTTTGCCAAACCACGTTTCATAAGGCGTCTTGTCGGGAAGTACTTTTGTTGGCAGGCGGTTCCACCAGCTAAAATCAGAACCGTTGAACTTTTCGATTATAATCTTGTCTTCAGCCATTACGACAAACAAGATACAAATCAGGTACACTCGTGCGTGAAAAAAAAAACGATCGTACCTTCCGAACCTCGCTAACCAGGCTCTGATACCAGTTGTTAGGAACCGGACCGGGTACACGCAGCGGAAACACACTATCACACACACACAAACCACGTAAAATCCTTGTGTTCTTCTTGCTTTATTTTCGTGAGTTTGTGTGTGTGTGATAGTGTGTTTCCCGGTCCGGTTCCTAACAACTGGTATCAGAGCCTGGTTAGCAAGGTTTGGAAGGTACGATCGTTTTTTTTTCACGCACGAGTGTACCTGATTTGAATCTTGTTTGTCGTAATGGCTGAAGACAAGATTATAATCGAAAAGTTCAACGGTTCTGATTTTAGCTGGTGGAAAATGCAATTAGAAGCATTGCTATGTCAGAAAGACTTGGACATGGTACTCGGAGACAAACCGGAGAAATTGGAAAAAGCTTTTGAAGATGCGTGGAACTCAAAGGACAAGAAAGCCAAGACGGTTATTACATTGTCATTGACGAAGAGCGTTGCTTTCAACATCATGAATGAAACCACGGCGCGTGGTATGATGGAGGCTCTGTCAAATATGTATGAAAAACCATCGGCGGCTAACAAGGTGTTCTTGATGAAGGAGTTGTTCACTATAAGGATGAATGAGGAAGGCTCAGTTACGGTTCACATTAATAATCTAAATTCAATTATGTCCATATTATCATCTGTGGGAATTAAATTTGATAACGAGACTCAAGCATCACTGCTACTAGCTTCTCTACCTGATAGCTGGTCCGGAACAGTTACTGCTGTTACGAGTTCCGTGGGGACCAGTGGTATGACTTTTGAAGGGGTTAGAGATTTGGTTCTTGGCGAGGATATCAGACGCAAGAATCAAGGTGGATCTTCCTCTTCTGATTTATTAAATGTCGGAAGAGGTAGAGGGAATAGCAGGAATAGTGGAAGCAGTGGGAGTCGGGGAAAAAGTTCATCTAGAACTAAGAAGAATGTGAAGTGCTGGAACTGCCAGGAGGTGGGACATGTTAAGAGTCAATGTCCAAAGAAAGAATTGAACATTGCCGGTGCTGAGAGTGTGTCTGAGGATGATGCATTGATACTCAGTATGGAAAGTTCTATAGACTCTTGGGTCATGGATTCAGGGGCTTCGTTTCACGCCATGGACAACGGGGAAACGATGGTGAATCTAAAAAAAGGAGATTTTGGAAAGGTATGGTTAGCAAATGACGAGATGCTTCAGGTAACGGGCATGGGAGATATTGATTTGGTTACTTCATTGGGAACTACATGGAGCCCGAAGGATGTCAGGGTGATTCCGGAGCTGAAGAAGAAATTGATTTTTGTTGGTCAGCTGGATAAACAAGGACTGGAAGTAAGGTTTGGTAGTGGTAAATGGAGGGTGGTCAATGGTGATCTGGTGATTGCTCGTGGTATGAAGTGTGGGTCATTGTATATGGTTGAGGTACCTGCTGAGGGAAGTATGACCGTCCCTGTTAAACAAGTCAAAATCTGGTTCGCTAAATCTACGGCTAAGAGAGTTCATTTTGCAAACATGAATTCTGGAGCCAAAGAGATGTTAGCTGAACGAGTTCGAAAGTCTAAACCATTCAGGGGATTCTGTGACAGTGGGAGCACGGGACGTGTTTCGGGTACAGTTACAAAGAGCCGTTGGGTTTTGAAGACTAAGACTGAAAAATTCTCTCCTGTTGGAAGTTTGCAAAGATTGGAGAGTGTTAGTGGTCCTCGGTGTATCTCTGGATCTGGTGGAGTGTCCAAACCGGTTGAGACAGAGGATGAGTCGGTGGTGGGATTAGCCACGACTGAGTTGGAGCTAGTGGGAGCTTCAACTGGCCCTTCTAGTACTTGAAGATGAGGGGCGGCTGCAATTAGAGAAATGGGACTAAGTTTAGCTTGTTCTTAGGAACTG